CGTGTAAGTCTTTTGTGACTGTCAATTGTTCCAGCTCATCTTCATTAGGAACATGCTTCAGATAGGCATCATATGGATCGGGTATGACTGAGCCTGCCACTGCTAAAGGCTCTCCTTGACAGATGAATTCTTCCTCCTGTCTGATCATAGAGCTGTCTTCTTCTGCTTGTTGCACACATCTGATGATATTAACAGTAACTCCTCCATCGACAAGGTCACTGCAGATGACTTCATCGATTGCTCAAAAACTGTATTCGCAAGCTCCGGCTGGTAGACTGATGGTGCATTGTGATAGGCTGTGTCTCATGCTCCTGGCTTTGGGGCTTGACTGAAATTGTGTGTGTTAAGTGGGATGTATAATGTGTCTTGAGCTGATCAGAAAGGATGCTCTGGCACTGAATCTGCAACTGCTGGAGTAGATGCACTTGGCGCATTCTCAGTGGCCTTCTCTGACTCCACCTGAGGTTTTGGCTGCTCAGTTGCCTTCTCAGGCTGTGCTGACTTTGTGACTGATCCTGCCAGTCACCTCAGTGGTATATGAACTCCATCAAAGACTGGTCGTGATCACTTGAGATTGAACAGCTCTTGCTCTAATGCTTCGATTCTATCCTCTGCTCTCAGCGAGAATGAACTGGCTTTCTCTGATGAAACCTTGAATAGGTTTACCACTGAGACTGATGCTGTGACTGGAGTCTGGTTCCATCTGTGCCACTCATAAACCCGATTATGAATTGTGATGCCTGAAATAGTATGAGGTATGAACATGTCATTCAGTATGACAACTTTTCTGGCTGCATTGCATATGCACTTGCTGCTCTTTCTGTCCTCCTTGACATGCTTGCATGTTCTGATTATGGCTCTGGCTTCTCCACAATAGTGGCAAAATCTGCTCAGATTTCTGTTCATGACTGGTGGTCTGCTCGCAGTCACAGCTTAACTCCCATTCTGCTTCATAACTCCTCCAGTCACTGCTGCTGTGAGGGTCTGAACTAACTTGACCAAGCTCTCAATAAGCAAGAAGATATCCTCACTCTTGATCGCTGGTGTGCTACTAGTCAAAGTAGTCGTGGTCAGCTTTACTGTGGTCGGCCCTACGCTAGTGCCATGCAATACGAACTTTGCCACATCATAGATGTCATTTACCAAATAGAGCATCTGGATAGTGATCTGGCTGCTTCAGCTGCAAATGCTGCAAATTCTGATTCCATAACTCCGGTGTAAATCCTCGAACGAATGTGTCATTGTGTTCTGACTCAGAAATGTGATTCTTGCCAATGAGAAATGATGTGATGGCTAGGAACTCCCAATGATAGTTCCCTAGTTCTGTGATTGTCTGAATTCCCAGTCAGGCTTGCTCCCTGACTAAGAGATCCATGTCTCGAACTTCCCATTTGTGCTTTGTATCTGCACCTGGATACAGCTTCTGAATTGCCTGTCGCAAATCAACATAGGTCTTCGTTCGATCAGAATATCCTGGAAGTGATTTGACCAAATCAGCAATGTCTATAATGAGATAGTGTTTCACCCATAGCTTCTTCTCTACTTCAGTGTTTACTTGGCAATGTATGAAAAGGATTTCTAGATCGTCGAAGAAGTGAAAGAGGGTTCTTGGCTGATGGGTATCGAAGGTGGGTGCCGATCGATCACTATGAAACGGCATCTGATTGGTGATTATGGTTTCTATCATGACTCTGGCTGTGGTGGTCAGGAAATTAAGTGTCTGAGTAGGGTTCTGGACTGGATTTGACACTTGCTCAGCAGCAAGGGCTGCTTCTAGCTCATCTAGAAGGGTGCTATGCGAGATTTCTGACGACAAAGCCTTAGAGATGTGTTCCAACTGGACTTCTACTGTTGAAGACTCAGACAAATGGTGCAATAGTGGTGTAAGTGAACTAAGCAAGCTAGGGGTTTCAAAAGCTGGTGATGTCAATCACGAAGCTGAGGATTGTGTTTTGAATGATGGAGATGGTCA